GCTGTACAAGCTTATTCATTTCTGTTTGATGATCTAGCAATAACTTGTGCACACAGTCGCCCTACCAAAAGACAAGTTTACACAACTTAAAAGTCTCTGCTTAAATGTGACCATGTAGGGGGTACATCTGAATTAAAACATACATTATCCTACTTTGCTCTTAGACTGGTTGCTCATTGTATACTAACTGTCTGCATAATGGCACACTGCCCAACTCCACCAGCACACCCTCTTCAGCCTTCAATCGCCCCTTTTGTTCCACCTCAAAATGTACCGACGCGCACGGGCTCCTGCCCAGTCGGACGGCTCTGTCTCTGCACCACGAAAATCCTGCAGAAAGGCGTGCTTGCAGGCACATGGTTTGCTGGAGCTGTGGGAGGGGTGGCGAGGGGGAGGCAGAAGAGAGTGGTTTACAGTGAAACCTCCACGTGGGAAAAGGTTTGTGAGAGTGCAAAATCCAGGGTTTTGTCTAAAAGCAATACCGGTGATATGCAAACGACTGCTTTGAAAGTAAAGGTCCCCGCAAAAGGTCATACACATACATACTTATGCGTGTGACTGCAAGATAATTAACCCAGGGACTTCATGAAATTCTTAAATATTTAAGTTAATATGTTAAATCCATGGTTAAATATTTATGGATTTAATTAAATCTCTGGTTTCAAAATGCTGTACTATATAGGCACAAAATGTACTGGTTACATAGGGACTTCTTTTTTAAATTAACATTGTTTTCTGTCATAGGATAAGAAATAGATTTCAACCCCATGATCCAAATGTAAGTGTGTGCAGCCCCCAGTAAGTAATCAAATATTAGATTCTGACCCGGACAACTGCTTGTACTTCACCAGCATGCCTACAAGATGCGGTTTTCTTTTGCGCTGCAGCTGAGGAAAAGTTTATTTCTATTTTCATTGGAATTTTAGCCACACATCTACAAACCCTGAAAAAATGGATGAGATCCTCAGACCCATTAACAGCTAACAAGGGCAGAATCGTCTCCTCTCAGTTGGAACTGATCTTATGTTAATGCATTAGGTTTTTGATAATTACCTAGTTTATTTCATTTTGAATTTTAAGCGGCTGGTTTGTGTGACAGATTCTATAATTTAGCAGCTGACTTTTAATTTTACAGTGGATCACTGCCACTGACAAGACTAGTATAAACATTCCCCCTCTCCACACTGTATTACAGTCTCTTATTGCCTTTAAAAGCTACACCTTCATTCTTACCACAGACAGGACACATTTCTGTGGTCTGATAATCACAACCATTGACTGGCACATAGAATAAGGGATATTGTTGAATCGTGAAAGCTTCCAACAAACCAAATCAAGAGCAACATTCTCTACTATACAAAGAATTGTTTTTATTTTACGGGTTCCAAGGAATGCCCTTGAAATGGTCCCTTCATTCTGGAACTGACAAAAACCGAGCAAATATTGCACATCTGTAAGTCACACTTGACCAAACACTTCTGTACACCACGCACAAAAGCAGTCACTGTAATTGAATCACAAGATAATAGAACAGAATCATGACTAACACCGAAACTGTAATTTCACCTCACTCATTACTTCTGGGAGTTATTACATACAACAATGTTGCACATTTAACTGTACCCCAGCCTTGAGGTTCAGTAACATCTTAACATTAACCTAACAAAAAGATCCAGTAAAAAGGCTTTGCTCCTATACTACAAAGAAGACTCACTGCCAACTCATTTTTATGGAATTTCTTTTCATACAACATGCAAATGTAACAGTTGTTTTGTTATATTTGTTTATTTAGCTAGAAGACTTTGGACATCTAATCCCCCATTCTGAAAGTTTCTTTAACACTGCAATGCACCCAGATAATAAAATAAAAAAGGGAACCAGCAGCTCCAACATGCAAGCATAATAGGTCCAATCACCTGTTAACAACATGAAGTCGTGATCAGTAATTTACGGCTACAGTTCGCTTATTACAGTAGGGGTAAGAAGACTTGTATGCAATTTCTTGTCCAATTGCATTGGCTGGCTTATTTCTCAGTCACTAAAAAAATAAGAGAATCATTGCAAATGAGATTAATTTCATTAAGGCATTTCCTGAATGAGACTGGAAGGACCTGAGCTATTTCACTGTCAAATCCTATTGTAGCTTATGCAAATCGGTACTTGAGATTTTTCCCCATGCGTTATCATGTCATTAAATAACCTCACACCAAAAAGTTCTAGATATATCTAATTATCCATACAGCACATACCGATACAGTACTGCTTGGAAAGTTTCGAGGGAGTGAAGTATAAAAATAACATTTTTAGTCTAGCATTCAAGCCACTAAACGAGGTCCATAACTCTGGGGGTGTGGGGGCTGGGTATACTCTGATCAAACAGCCTGTCTTCTCCAGGAGGGTGGTTTCATATCTCATTAAGACTGACAGCCGTAGAGATTTGGCTAGACTTGACACAAGCCCCATATGGGGCATTTGGTATCAAAAAACTACTACATAAAACATGAACAATGAAAGCCAATGCTGGATAGAGCCTTGTTTTTTTTTTTGTCTTTTTCAGTGTTTTACATTTTTTTTTTATGATTAAAGGTTGGAGGCAACGTGCTTGCTGTCATCTTGGTACAGCAGAGCTCTGCAGAAGTGAACAGCACATGGGGGAGGGGGAACACCAGGGTCAGGAGCTATCCCAGATAACTCACAGGATGCCTGCAGGCACAAGACCAGTGATATCATCATCCACATTCCAAAAGACATGTGCGCATGAGATGAGTGGTTTGGAATAAAACAAATATTATGACATTTTATAGACAAGGTAGAGCCCTAAACTTAACTTTAGCAGCATAAAGGGAACATAAAATCTCAACCAGGAGTTTTAAATGCAAAACAATTAAATAGCCAGAGCTTGAGGTTACAAGCCTACCCAGTATTTTTATAAAAACCAAAATAAAGGTTGGATCAATGAAGGTAGGACTTTGAATCAAATCATATACAATGCGATGTATCCGCTTGCAAAAACTCTAAAAAAATAAATATATAGACTTTATTAAATATCTTTCAAATCATATTAAGGGCGGTTTTCAACACCTTTTGGCCAGCACACCTTATACAGTATCTTAAAACAACTGTGGCTGACGCTTTTATCCAAGGAGATTTACAATGGCTAGAACCAGCAAAGGAACCTAGTAGCGAAGTTTCGCACAAGGGTGACAGTTTTGAACACGCTTAAATGATTCTGGGCTCCACAGCTAATCAAGGCGAGGTCGCGGCCGGTGTAGGGGACGCGTAGGCTGGCTATAGGGGTTCAGGGACAGCGGTCTGTTCCCAGAACGGCCAGGTGACAGGAACACAACCCCCGCGCGCCGCAGCCTCCACACTCTCTGCGACTGCACTGTGTGATCCGCAAAAGAACGCATTGTTTCTGGGCATTTGGGATAACAAACAAAACCGCTCGCTTTTCACCTACGGGGAAGCACAGCTGCTGTTTACAGCACTCCGAAAAAGAGAGGAAACAACGCGATCAGACCAGTTGCTGTTTTTGTTTTAATCAATATCCGATTATAATGCTACTCCAACAAAAACAAGGTGAAAATGACAACATTATTTAGAAACACAAATGCACGTGTTGTGGGGAAAATTAAAGAGGTGTGATAACTCTCACCCCTTCCGTCTGTATTTTTTCTGAGTTTCTGTGACTATCGCTGAATGATTAGCTTCTGCACAACCCTACCTTTTCACTTCAAGCGGGGTTTTCAAGTAGAGTGTGAAAAGCAGCATCCAGGTAAATTCAGTCATCAATAAATAACCGCATGTAATCGTCGCTTGAGAAGTGTAAACTTGCCTAAGAAACCGTTTGTGGGGGTACAGCTTCCAGTCTCAGACTGTCCCCCCAAGACTTCGGGCAGACATACAGTACCTACAGGACTGGGCATTGTTCTGCAACATCTGAGCCAAAAAGATTAAGCCGTCACAAGAATTAAAACGTGGGAGACGATTATGCCTACCTCCTTTGCCCCCTAGAGACCTGAAAGATTAATTCCTCTTACGCTTTACATCTTAACACTGAGAAAACACATTCCGCTTCTGCATATTGATCTCCGATTCGCCCTCGCTCCTCTCCGTTTCTTTTAATCGTGTCAGACCTGTTGTAGGGGACGACCGGCACATACCCAGCACTGTTCTTGCACGGCCCAAGACGAGAGCATAAAAATCGATCCCACCTAATAAACCGCAGTACTTCGCTTTAATAACGGCAGCAAATAAGCAAATATATTAGCTACCCAGCGAGTACGTTGTTTTCTGAGCCAGAAGCAATCGCAACCGAAACCCCATAACCTGTTAAATGCAAACTATTGACTTTTTCTGTCAGTATGAGGAACTGTGCATTATAAAACCGCTACCGGTGTATGTCAAGGCAGCTAGGATCAAAAATCGCCAACACGTGAATTAGCCCTGTTGAATTCACCGAGTTGCCTTTTTCTATTTGACATTGATTAGTTACTGAACTTGTCCAATTATCCAAACACGGCTACCTACTGCATTATTTAACCAGTCGTCAAACATGCTAATAGTTTAGGACTATAAGAGTCTATACCTTATATGACCTGAGGGGTTAAATCTGATTAAAATAGCGAAAAGAAAAATTTTACTTAAAAAGGCTAATATATTAGATCAATTGTCGTACGCCGTAGATAGGTATAGTTGAAAATGTCCCGTTAACCAAAAGACTATCCAGATATCTGAAGGTTAGAAATGAAGTATATCCCTTTTGGTAAAAGAAGCATAAATTGTTTAGGTCAATTTTTTTTTTTTGGGGGGGGGAGACTATCTGGGAGAAAATTGCAGATCAAAGAGCAAAAAATGTAAAAAAACGGTAGTCTACAAATAAAATAGTGACACTTTTCGCTCGAGTTTAGTTACATCTAAATGCAAGTTGGCTATCTCAGCCCTTAAGTATAGCATATCTGTCATCGTCGTGTAGGCCTGTACACATTCATTTCACTTACCTTTCTGGATAAAGTCGGAATTCAGCTATGTAAATATATTTTTTTGCTTCTTCTTTTTATTCTTCGCAGCGCTCTTACAGAAGCCAATATCGTGTCATTCCAGTGTTTCGCTGACTCGCGTTACTCCAGTGCCAGTCTGAGATAGCGGAATGAGAGGGGAAAAACGACTTGTTAAAAAAAATTCTGCTGAGAAACAGGAGGCAGTGCTAAACGGAGTCCCAGGATGAAACCGCTCATTAAACAAGCACAGCTAACGGGCACAAGGAGCGACAAGCCGAGCCGTTACATCAATGCAAAAACCGAGTGAACAAAATACAAGCTAGATCTCTTTTTTTAACGAGATCCGATGCCTCGTCTCAGAACTCCTCTTTTCCCCAAAAAAAGGAATACCGCTATACCTCTACAAATTAATCCGAAAAAAGAGGCAGCGGGAGACCTGACGGATGCAATGCAGCCTAGCTCATCTTATTGAACCGCGGTGTCCTGCGTGCTTCTTGGCGCAGCTCTTCCTCCTTTCGGTGGAAACTGAACAGTAGTTCAGCCGCGGTTCGCGCTGCTCAGCCCCTGCGCGACGCTGCCCGCTCGCTCGCCGCTCTCTGCTCTCCGGTGTGTGCGGGGCTGGTTGCGGGGCAGCGAGCCCTCCCACTGCAGCTCCAACCCGGAAGCAATCCTGCCTCCCTCACGCACGTCACCCTCCTCCTCTCCGCCGAGGTAGTTAGCGGCGTGCGGCTCGTACTGCTGTGGCTCGGGGTTTGGCAGAGAAGAGATAGCCAGTGCCCGCTTGTCACATTATAAATCGCCTATTCCCCAGCTAATGCAAAAAAACAAACAAAATAAAATCCCAAGCATGCTGTAGACACAGCGTATATTATATAAGGAAAATTCAGATGCCCCTTGAGCATTTTGGTACGGAAATGCTAGTCGGTAAACGTTTTGTATTAATATGTATTGTTAAATAAAACTCAGGAGTATTTAATTGCATTGAATTATTTAGTTTGCAAAACATAGTGCAACGGCCAGAGGGTGAAAACGTGTAAACATTATTTTGGTAATTTATATACTGGAATGAATTCCCGAGGCGTCGCAGTTCCCGTGGGTCTGCATTGACTGTGTGGTGCGAAAGAGGCAAAAGAGAACGACTGTCGAGAAAAGTTTTTCATTCAGCTTTTGTCGTTATACTTAAGGTGATTTATTTGGTCCAGAAAACACATAATATAATCTCCTGGCTTGCCAGTGAAAACATCATGTATCAGAATGTCCTGCCCATGGCGGCAAGTGAGGTAGAGACAAATATGCTGGTCCTAAAATCTTTTAACACAACCCTCCCCGCCTCACATTACAGAATACCTCATTTACATTTTTTTTCATGGCTAAGAAAGTGGACAATCTCTATAAAATCTCCGAGCAGTGCATGAAAAACATGCACTGCTCGCCGTATAACCTGGGCTTTTAAAATACATTAATCGGCAAAACAGGCATTAGAAACCCAATACACTGTCGTTCATGCCGTTTACGTTTCTTACGCTTTCATCGATTCATTCTATACATTCCAGGACTGCAAATACATAATATCACCATTTTTATCTTTGAGATTCATTTATCTTATGTATATTATTTATAAATTTAAATTAATAAATGTTTACAAATGATATGAGGCCATTTTAGGGAGCTAACCTGTGTACTGGTAGCTCATTGATCTAGGGATCAATGTCTTTTCTTGACAACATGACTAAGGGTTTTGTTTCATACTTCCAGGGCCCTTTATGTAAGACTTTAATTTCACCTTGTGTTAGTTTGGTTTTCATCTGTTCATGATTATCTTTAATTGTAGTTCATGGTCTGGCTCTTTAAAGTTGGTTAAATACAGTAGAAATAAACATAGGATATTCGAAATGGAAGTTTGTTAGCTTTGTATATAAGATTCAGATGAGTGTGGGTTGACGCAGCAGTGCAGTGGATAGTATTGTGGTCTTGCAGTGCTGAGGCCCTGGGTTCAATTCCTGGGGTGCAGACTACTTGGAGTTCCTGTGTTTGTGTGGGTTTCCTCCCACAGACCAAAGACATACTAGTCGGTTAATTGTCTATTGGGATAACTGGCTCTGGTGTGAGTGTGTGTCCTGCTATGTAGTGGCATCCTGTCTAGCAGCCGTATCACCCTGCAGCTCGAAACTGGTAGCCCACTGAAGCTCAGCAGGTGTGAGCCTGGTCGGTACCTGGATGAGAGACCTCCTGGGAAAAACTGAGGTTGCTGCTGGAAGTGGTATTAATGGGGTCAGAAGGGGGTGCCACCTGTGTGGGTTCTAATGCCCCAGTATAGTGAGGGGGACACTACATTATCAAAAAAGGCACCATCCTTTGGATGAGATGTAAAACCAAGGTCCTTAATCTCTCTGGGCATTTCCCATTGGCCTTTACCAATCATGGCCTCCTAATAATCCCCATCTATGTGTGTGGTGAGTGTACTGGAGCACTATGGCTGCTGTCGCTTCATCCAGGTGGGGCTGCACATTGGTGGTGGTGGAGGGGAGTCCCCATTAATTCTAAAGTGCTCTGGGTGGAGTGGCCAGAAAAGGGCTATATACAGTAAGTGTAAGAAACGATTATTATTAACCCTGTATTACATAAAGCACTTAGAAAGTGGATTTAAGGCATATTAGCACGTACTGAAGAAACACACAGAAAAGTTGGCCTATTTAATCCTTGGGGTAATCCAAATGGGATGAAAGGGAAAAAAGTACAGGTATCGTTGTCCTCTGTTTGTCTTGAAGCCTTAATTTACTTTTTTTTTTGCATTCCCTTTAGAACATCCCACCTTAATTGGCATGTTCAGACTGCAGCTGAGCTCTGGAAAATAACAGACACCACAAGGACTTGTTGCCCTGCATCTTCCTGTAGAATTAATTTTTACATTAGTTATTGTTAACTGACTCATTAATTGTTTTAATATGCTTCCCTTATAATTTACACTATTGAGTGTGTCCATTGGGGTCAATAACCTGAAAATGATGGTATGAAGCAACATAGCGCTTTGATCAGATTTCATTGTTGTGCAATTTGCTTTATTCTGTTCAGTATGTCACCATGATACAAACTGATATTGTCTTCATCTATAACTAGCAAAAAGAAATGTTACATGAGGAAGATCTCATTTGCAATACATTCCTGCTCAGCACATTACAAAAATAATTGCTGCATTGAAGAAAAGTTCAAAGACGAGTGACCATAATAATTCCTGTTTAACAAGACATGTCATACAGTATGTTAAAGCAAGCCAATCTCTAGATCTGAACAGAGATGATTATAAGGGAAACTGATAGAAATGTTTAAAAACCTGACTTTCATTACTGTCAGCAGAAAGTCTGTAGAAAGTTTTCTCCTTTGCTTTGTAATAAATCTTGTATAATATTCCTTGACTTCAAAGTTTTCATTCTGATCGGTATCATTTCACGCAGTGAGTGTTAAGATGCATTACATCAAACAGAGAGCAGTTATCATGGCTAACTGGAGCTTGCACATCAGATAAAAACCACAGCTATACTGCAGTTCACCACTTAAGAGGTCTTGCTGTATGTGTCAGGCAATAATAAATGTTAATTGGAGCTTATTATAGATGTAAATGAATTTCCTGTCAAGACATCCTACATTAGAAGCCTGAGGCGAGTTTCTAAATTTTTGCCATTTTTAACTGAAATGCAAAGTGGTAGAGTGTTGTGCATAGCTTAATGGTCTTTAACGTTAAAGCCCGCTGTCTTAATTTCCACTCTGTCTATGTTTCTGTGCGTGGGGAGGGGGTGGACAGCTGTAAAAACTAACCTGTGAATTACACTTTCAAAATCCGTCACATGAGTGTGAAACATACACTTAGAATGAGAAGGACAAACAGCTGCTCCCTTTTAATACCTTACCTCAAGGCAAGGGTATTTCAAGGTAGATCAGATCTGAATACCACTGCTGTGGATGAGGTGCCTCACTGTATGCTTTGGCCTCTGTTACCCTTCACACCTCTGTCAAGCTAGGTGAGCACAGCCTGGGCACTGGCTGCCTCTGGCATTTGGGCTGATCTACCGCAGTCCTCTGAAAGAGTCTACACACCGGAGTCTCCACAAAAAGCATAGGAAAGGTCAAAGAATAAGGTGAGGCCATTTATAATCTGCAAGCTGTGCCTTATGGGATGAGAGAAGTGAACCAATCACATATCACGATCTACTGGTACAGTATATGCCTGCCCTGTTATCTGACATTAGGAAACCGCAGTGAATTGACATAATCTTCATACCTGGACACTGTAGTAGACTAGAACTAGAGCTTGGCTTCTGATACCACCTGCTAAAGAAGGGGCTGCAGTTACACATAATCTGCCACCAGGGGCCGCAATTCAGCCTCTAATAGCATGTCAATAGCTACACCAGGTGTAATTGATATAATTATTGATTAATTGGTTAAGGACGTAGATTTTCACTTTCTCACATGGGTGTAATAAAGCATTTATATATTTAAATGGCATGTAGAGTGCTAGGGGAGGTTGCGTTTTTGATGGATTCAAGGATTCATTTGTGTTACTTGAAAAGGCCATCAATAGAATTTGGACTGCTTGTCTCTTGGCTGCTGTGAAAATATGATCGTGTAGAGTCTTGGGACCACCCTGTTTGAGAGCAGGATATGGCACAGCTCCCGAAGGAGGGTTAACTGAAACGGGTATACCGCTATTCTGCAGTATGATTACTTGTGTTGACTTTAAATAGGGCTGTAGGTTTTCACTCTCTATTGGAAGTCATCTGCATTTGTAAGAAAGCCATGCGGCTACAATTTAAAAAAGCATTAAAATAGATGTTTTGGGAATAAATGCTTATGGCAGACTTCCCTTTCTCTGAATAGAGCCTGTTCTGCATCCCCTGTCACCTTTACTACTACCCAAGAATATATTACTGCAATAAGGGAGAGAAGTGTCTGCAAATCTGTTAAGCCCATTAGCAAATCTAGAAAGTGACAAGCAGTTTAATTTAATGAGTGAGTTTTCTTTAATTAGTAAAACAGGAGTAGATTACACTCAATTTGCATGCACTGTTATATGAAGATTAAGTGAAAGAAACGTTCACAATGTGGAAGTAGATAATAGGACAAGAATAGTTTGTATCTGTCTGATGTAACATGCTGATATACTGCACATTAAAAAAAATGCATTACTATTAAGACTGAGGCAGATTGAGTAATACACTTCTTATATTGCAAAAGAAGCCTTATTAGTTTACACTGTGCAACAAGCTGTATGTAACATACATGGGAGATTGTGGGAACTTTTGTTTGAATGGAACATCTTTATTAAAAAAGCTTAAGTACTATATGATTGACAAGTTAAAATGACTGAAAACTAAATCATATAGATAGTATGGAGTTAACATCTCAGAGGACTTAACCTGGACCCACCACACCAACACCGTGGTCAAAACAGCACGGCACCGCCTATTCTTTCTCCGTAGGCTAAAGAGGTTTGGCATGCCATCACATATCCAGGCCAACTTCTACAGGTGCACTATTGAGAGCATCCTGACTGGGTGCATCACTGCCTGGTATGGGAACTGCTCCGCCCTGGATCGCAAAGTACTGCAGAGGGTGGTGAAGTCAGCACAGCTCATTACCAGCTATGAGCTACCAAACATC